GACACATGAACCCGTACTTTAAAATGTTCAAATAAAGTCTCGAACAACAAGAAGTGGAATCGCGAGCTCCCATGAAACAACCATTGTGGTGTTTTAATTATTTTGATGACTTTTTTTCCTCCGCATAGATCCAGATTTAGGTTATTCTGACGGTAACCACACTTGAGGACAAAAGCTGTGTATGACTTAACATTGGTTTTTAAACAAAAATCTGTCTTGGTTCAATCAGACAAGAAAGGTGCACACATCAGAGCCATGTTATTCATTGCAAACTGGATGTTTGTGTTGCTGCTTCAGCCCTCATGATCACCGTTCTTCACAGGGTTTTTATGTGACGGCAGCATTAACGTTCCACACTCACATATCTGGTCCATATTTGTTCCTGTCTTACTGTCTCTAACAAAGGAAATGTTGACTGTTATCTAATAGCTTATGGCAAGTTACACAGAGGAAAAGAGAAGCTACAAATTCTCCTCAGATCCCCATTCTCTCTTCCAAATTTAAGACTGGCACGTTATGCTAATATTGCAGACTTAGTCCATATGCACAAACCCTTCCTTTAAAACCACTATTGCTCAGAGTTTTCTAAGATAAAACGCTGATTTGTTAATACATTATTACTTGTTATATTTATATATATATATGATAATTGCTGAAAGTGGTCAAGCTGATAGAAAAAAGGAAAGACATATTGATTGATTCAGTTTTAAGAAGACAATATTAATAACAAAAACAAAGCCGTGTTATATGTCATATACAGGATGACGGTTATTTACAACCCTAATACTGGTTTCATCGCTAAGATTATTTTCAAGATAGAAATAAAGAAAAAAATAGAGAGTTTGAAAGCAACAATAGTTGTTCTTCAATCCCTTTTGTCAGCACACCTTTCCTTCTGGTTTGTATTGCGTTGAGTGACCCCATCACTCTGAATGAATCACAGAAATAACTCTGTGCTGACGCCAGAGATGCACTGGATGTTGTGAATGCAACAAAGCAAAGAGGGTAAGTACTGAAGTGACACTGCATTTTTTTGGAGTTTGGGTAATGAGCACGGGCTGGACTATTCTTAATGGCACATTGACGGACTCAAATCTCTACTGACTTGTGTGTGTGGAGAGCAACAAACCCGGGCCAGTGAGCGGCTGAGAAGGTTTCAAACAGACGTCTAAACACAAGAGAAGTGTTCGACAGAATAAATACAGAAAATGTGGACCGAGCCTACATCTACCAGCGGGACAAGCAGGAATCAATTCTTGACAGAGAAGATCAAGTCTTATCTTGTTAAGTAATATTTTGACTTGTGAACTCTGTCAGTCAGTCACACAAGTGGTTTGAATATTTGGAAACATTTTCAGCCACGTCAAGTGTGCAAAACACTGATTCTATGGTTATACTGAGGCCGAGGTCTTCAACAAATACAACAAATAGTAAAGTTGTGGTTGAAGTAGGGGAGTCATGGGAAACCAGGAACTGAATTTAGGGAGAAGCAGAAAGTGTTTACAGCAGTGGGTTCTAATCCTGGTCCCGGCCCTGCTGGTTTTCATAATAACCAGACACATTTTGAATTACTGGTGGAACAGAAAACCAGCAGCACTCTTGAGGCCCAGCATTGAAAGCCACCGGTCGATCAAACCAGAAACAGTTTTGGGGTTGACAGTAAAGTTTGCTGGCATCCTCTGAATGGATGAGCTCCATTCTTTGGCAGGGCAAATCTCCTCTTCTTTTCTTTCTGTCCATCCATCTAAATTTCATTGTACAACAAACGTCATTAATAGTTCTTTAGTGTTCCTTTTTTTTT